AATGCTAACAGAGGACTTATACACAACAATGTTGTCCATAGTTAGCCCTACATTGCGGTAGGCCCAAGCTAAAGAAATGCCTAGAGACACTACAATAAATGCGTTTAGCAGGAATGAAGACTCTACTTCTCGATTAATAAGCTTACCCGCAAAAACTTACAACAAGAGTAAGCCTTCTCTGCTTTAGAATGCTTAGGCTGACTCGCCTCACAACAGCTGTTCTCATAAGGAGGAAGTGTTCTTTGTTCTTCCCACCTATGCCACTGAAGAGAAAACAGGAAAAATGCTTTCTGAACAGATTCCACCAACTGGACATAGCAGCAGCATATTGGTCTGATTGTCAGATATGGGCTTTCGCAACACACTTTTCGCGTATAGTTCTCAACGTGGTGGTTTCTAAGAATTCCGAGCGGATCATGTTAAAAACTAGAAAACGATTCAAATAGTTCTCAAAAAAAAAAAAAAAAAAACCGTTCACACGCATTCCAATTTTTTAACATATCCATGATTATACTTAGGCACCTGATCGTATTTGTCGTAAAATCACAGCAATGTTACAAGTCACAACCAATATATTTTCGAATAGTTTTCGTGACTTAACAGCCTTGTTTGACATCGATATTGATATTAGAGAACTTGGTTATGCCTATTGTTCCGGAAAACTAAATTTGTTACAAGTCGTACGCCATGTCCTTTTATAAAGCTACGATTTGTGTCCCACATATACAAAGCGATCTAACATCTATAATAAAAAAACTTCCTTTGCATTCGCACTCTTTCGAAATTATTTCAACATGCGAATCGAAATAAAGCGAGAAAAAGCTTGTAGAAGGTTTAGGCATTCATTCAAGTCTTATTGTCGAAACTTGAAAATCTTTGTGATGAACTCGAAAGATACACTTTTTCATTTTGGCTATGAAAAAGTTTCCCAACACTGACAATGATTCATCATTACGTATATGAAAAAAATCACAAAAAAAAAAAAATTTTCTTTCTTGACAAATCTCTATTCTGCATATACGTAAAATAGTTTCAACAAGTGATCATTTGTTTGCGAGCCACCATCAAGTCAAGATTTCGGACATTCATCGAAATGAATGAATTTGAAAACAACTTTTCTACAATCTCATTATAAGATCTACACAACCATCTGCTGAACATACTTTTCATCACAGATTTCATCACGTTTGCGTTGTTGTTTAGCTACCAAAAATGAGATTTGACGGCCAAATTATATTTATATATATATATACAGCGTAGTTATTATCGGGAGGCAGTTTAGCTGGTAAGAATTTAAAGATGAAAAAAAAAAAAACTTAATCTACATGTTCGCGTATAGAGAAGTACGATGAAAATTTTAAAAATATTGCTTTAGAGTGTCTGCTTGAAGAGTGTTTGCTTGGGAAAGTTCAGCTTCTTACACAAAATGATGGATCGAAGAAGAACTTAAGTAGCACAGGGTGCAGAATAGTCAAGCGGACGACATCAGCTTGTCCGATTAGAAAGTTTCAATCGTCCGTCTTTCTCTATAAGGAGTGTTTGTTGGATAGAAAGCAATTAATGCCGTATTAATCAGTTTCGCAATGACCCGTACGTTTATCCATTGTCTGGCCATTTGCCTTTATTTACAAAACATATATTCCCCTTACACAAAAAGCGGCGTGCAATGTGGTACCCGTTACACAAATATGTCTGACTTTGACTAGATGATTACAAAATATTACTTGCAATAGTGCAATCATTTCCATATAAATAACCTTTTTAAATTAACCTATCAGAACGTCCTCCATATTTCTGTCAAGAGTACTGTTTCGAAATATTTTGTGTGAAATTCGAATGAAAGGAATGAAAATTGCTGCGACTGCACTAAGTGTTGTTTTGAAAAAATGGTTAAACTTTTGGAATGCGCCAGAGACAAGCTTTTCTATTATAATTTTTCAATAACTTTTACCATTATTCTGCAATCGTAGCGCCACAAAAATATACTACTGCCTTCCTTATTCCCTTTCCACGAAGAATTTTTGATGGAAAATTACGCTTCGGCTGCAAGTGGCAAAAACGCAAGTGGTGGAACTGCGCAAAAAATGGCAAAAAACTATTAGTTATTTTAGAGTCGAATTTATAATTAACAAACTTTTAATTTCTTGGTAGAAGCAAAAGGGATCTCTCGAATCGCTGTCAACTTTGCATCTACTCAGCACTCGTCGTAATGAGCCAAAGACTTTTTTGCGAACATAACAAGCGAGACATTAGACTGTGTAATGTCCCAGTGAAGATCCATTCGTTACAGATAGTCTTTTCGGCACGCCCGGGGAAGAGCTTGAACTCGCAAGGAAAATGTCTCTTTCAGTTGATGCACTTTTCCCAAATGTCCTTGAGCCATTAAAGCATCTGTTAGGCAAAAAAAAAAAAAAAAAAAAAAAAAAAA